ATCAGTCTATGTCACATTCACACTTAGAAGAAACAGAGGCTCTTCGATCCGGCTAAACAATATGAAAATTTCCCGTGCAGACTACGTGCCGTACCTGGGCATGCATGTAGACAAGCGCTTAACGTGGAAGAGACATATCTTCACTAAAAGAAAACAAGTAAGCCAACGACTTAGGAAACTTTTTTGGTTAGTAGGAAGAAAATCTCAACTATCTCTTGAGAATAAGCTCCTACTCTACAAGGTTTCTTTAAAATTCATATGGTCCGACGGCATACAACTGCAGGGGATAGCTCCGCACTCTAACCTGGAAATAATTCAGAGATTTCAGAACATCATGCTTCGCATGATAACAAACGCTCCATGGCTAATGAACAGCTAAAATACCCACTACTATAAGAGAGGAAATATTATTGTTCATTACAAATATTTTTTTATCACCCATTAAAAATGTTGAGGTTTATGTACTGAAAGCTCATAACGTATACCCAAACCCAGAAGAAAACAGTGATAAAAATGTACATTGTCATAATTTGCGCTCATTAAAAAATACATGTGATGAAATACTGAACAGTTTTTGAAATAAGTTCTGATGTCAAGTCAACGTCATCGTCGTCGATTTATAGATGTTGGTTTATGTTAATAACCATAATCGTAAAATGATAAATGTTATTACGGGTGAGAACAAATTGATGCTTCCAATGAACTGTGCATTTAATCCAAAACAAGACAGTATTTTTCAGACTTTTTCGGTAATTTGGCTTTCCTACTGAATCTTATCTTTGCTTCATCATCGTCAGCTTAATATAATTACCGCTGATAAGTAATACATAAAGGTACAATTCCGCAATGACCTGCAGGCGACAACCGCAGGCGACACTGCGGCTAGCGCCTGCGGCTGACCGTCCATTATATGCATTGTGCAGCCGCGGCATGTCGCGGCGCTCGGAATTAATTTCATAGAGATGCATAGAAACTAGTAGTGTCGCCTGTAGTCTGCAGCTGCGGCCTGTGGTCTGCGGTTCAGTTCGGACTTGTACCTTAAGGTTGTCGAATTTCAAAATTGACGGGAATTTGGGGTTGTTTTCCGGAGAATTACACCGCGCCCCCACCTTAAAGGAAGCGTCGTCTGGCTAGGAGGGACCTAGCCAAACGACGCTTCCTTTAATTCAGGCGCATATAGTGCACAATGTTGAGGTTGTACCTCAACCCTACAGGGTAAACGATAAGTGTACCATCATGATCGTTTGTCGGGAGTAGGGAAATCACATGCTACATCGGGTGAATTCAGACGATTCCCAAATAGCTGGCAATCCTAGACACACAGCTTCTCTATAGGATGAGGTCCGGATTGGTGGGTGATAACAACAACACAAATACAACTAGGCCAAAGGCTTCCCAAAGCCTATGACTAATATTATTATAATTTCAAAAGTGTATCTGTCTGTTAACTCTTCACATTTATAGAGAGAGCACAATCCGACGTTCTAATAAGAAAATTATCTGACATCAGTTCGTTTGCATCCGGGGCTCATAATCAGTGGATGTCAGATACGGGGTCTAGATCTAGAACAATATGTCTGGGCAGCACCTTCCGTTCAGAAAATTGCGTATGATATGCGGCCGGGCTTAAACCGATTTAGTTTAAATTAAGTATAGAAATAGTTTGAGTTTTCATAAGGGAAAAGGGAGGTAGACGTTTGTATAGGGCACAAAATCTATCTAATCTAACCTAAAATCAAATCAAAATTATAAAATTGAAATCTGTAATTCTCTATACTCCACCTACCAGTCAGTCAATTCTATTATTTAGCTCGTCTGAGCCTCTTTATAATTTATCTTCGACCACGAGTTCGGGTTGCAATAAATCTCTATTATGTTAATGAGTTTTTGTAGTGACGATATTATTTCTGTCGGCGCCCGCGCCGCTACGCCTATTTACTTTGTAGTCCATTTACTCTTTATTATTAAGCTACGGTACAAACATACGGCGATTTAATCTATTATTTCTAGTCATCTTAAAAAAAGTTGGTTAATAGTTAATGAAAATATTTGGAGAGTATTTAGTTTTTTAAGCACTACACTGTTACATTTTTATGTCTAAAGATTTTTTTTCCAGTCTAGGTCCAACCTGACACCCGTGGGCCAATCGCCTAACCAGATTGCTTTGGAAAACGCTATCGCTTACGATTCCATTTTGTTATTTCTAACCGCCGAAGGTTTTCAAATACCTCACGCTCATTTTCTTTAACATTGTTATTACCAATGCAAAAGAAAAAAAAAGAGCGCGAGGCATTTGAAAACCTCAGGCGGCTAGAAATAACAAAATGAAATCGTAAGCGATAGCGTTTTCCAAAGCAATCCAGTTAGGCGATTGGCCCCCCGGGCCGAGTGCATTTTATTGTAATAAAATTGTATGTAAATATAAATAAATGTTTTTATTATTAATGCAGTAATATTAGGGTAATTAATTTACTTGCGGTATTTAACAATTATAAAAGCACGGGGCACAATAGTAACTTGATAGATTTCTGAAGCAGCCCTAACTGATTTTCTTTCCGGTTCTTCTCAGTACAAGGTCTCCCGCCATAGATTTGCGGACCGATGCCGTTGCTTTTGACTTTCACTTATCTATATATATAAAACTCAAAGGTGACTGACTGACATAGTGATCATAGAAACCACTGGACGGATCGGGCTGAAATTTGGCATGCAGGTAGATGTTATGACGCAGCCATCCGCTAAGAAAGGATTTTGATCAATTCTACCCCCAAGGGGATAAAATAGGGAATGAAACTTTGTATGAAACAAGAAGAATCAAAGATGAATGTCATGTGAAAGCCTGAGAACAAAAACTGTAGTCTACACTTCAGCTCTACACCGAAGCGAAGCGAGGGCGGGCCGCTAGTATGTTTATAAAAGCCCAAAGCCTGATACTGAAAATGAATTTGAATTTTCTTCTCGTCAAAATAGCGGGACATTTACTATTGTTTCGTAACACCACCGTCAGTGGTCAGTCATCCTCATCTCGCATGTGCGCAATGTCGTATCAAAATAAGTGTCGCGTAGCCACCTCGGGTTTCCCGCGCAGCTTGTTTGTTGCTGATATTTATTTATGGATTACTTCGTAGTACACATATCAAAAAGTACTCACCTAGAATCTTCTGAGAACCAACATCTTTCATAACATACGCACGAGGCAAGTTTGCTCGAAGGAAGAAAAATGAATGGACATTGTAGCGTAGGCCACCTGATTTTACACTGTGCCGGTTAGGAAGACAACGGACAAAAGCGTAGAAAAGTGAGAAAAACGTGTTTTAAAAAAAACGACGGGTTGCACTCCGGGATTGCCGGTAGAAGTGAAAACTTGCATATTAACGTTGTGCATTTTTGATATTTTGGAATGGTTAGGGGATAATTTTGCACGAATTGCTTTAATTATCAGTATAAAAGTACTATCATGTATGTGGTAGAATACAATATTTATTCATTGCACTATCGTACACAAACATGACAATTTATATTACATTATAAAAGTTTATCTCTCAGAAAAATCAACTTACGTGAATCACGTTTAACCGCACTTAGCGACATTTATTGTAAAGAAATCAACTTACATGAATCACATTTAAGCGCACCTAGCGACATCTATTGTAAAAAAATGCATTTTCTTCGCAATAAAGCTGCCACGTGGACGTCCTTGATGGAGACTTATTATTATAATACGATAAAATAAAATATTACTTTGTTTCGTCCAATATATTGAAAGTCAACAACCTTTCCAATTTTATTGTGTGACATGATGCGATCAGCCCACGTGTTTAACCTGACGCAAGTTTAACATTTTTTACCCATACAAAAAAAGTGTACAACTCCGCTAAAAAAGTTTTCACTTCAAAAATTCTATACAGTTGAAAATAAAAATGTATTAAGTAAGTTAAGTGTCTAGGAATTAAGTACGCAACGCCAGTTTCTTTATGGTAGGTACCTGATTGAGGTCACCGTTAACTTGGGTTAATTACTCACAATTATTATAAACTTAAATAATTGATCTATACTTTTGCAAAATGTCGGGGTACTTTTAACGAATTATACATTGGAATTAGATTAAAAAAGCCGTATAGGCTATTTATTTCTTTTAGTTAAAAAAATTACTAGATCCTTCAAAACTTTTGATTGTTTAGTTAAGTAGGTTGATGGTCGGTTTAATCTGCCTAAAGTGAAACATCTCACAAACTAACTGAAATCTGGTTAATAACGAGTTCGCGGTTATATCATTGTCGTAGTTACATGCTGAATTCGATTCACAGTTTACTGCTCTGCGAATGGCAGGTTTTCGTCACTGCGAGTAAATAATACTCTTAACTCAGATTTAAACTATTCGCAGTTCTGTTTTTATGTCTTTTGTAAAATTATGTAGAGCAAAGCGAAAGATAATTTATGTAATTTAAGTTACCTGCACTGCAGGCGACATACACGTACTCATCCGCTTGTTGTAGGTCCGAATTTATCGATGTCATGTACAGTCCTATTCATTGTATCTTTAGATTGTTTTCTAGTATATGACGAGCTCGATGGCACGGGTGGTTAGTGCGTTCGGCTGCAATCGTTGAAGTTAAGCAATTTTCGCAGTGGTCGATCATTGGATGGGTGAGCAAAAATCTTCTATCTCGAGTTCCTCCGTGCTACGGAAGGCACATTAAGCCATTCGTCCCGGTTGCATCTGCAGTCTTTAGCACCCGCCAATCCGCACTGGGCCCTCTTGGTGGGTCATAGCAAAATCTAACTATTCCATCCATAGGGAAGGTCTATGCCCCAGCAGTGGGGACATTAATAGCCTGATGATGATGATGATATTCAGTATCTTTCTTTTTGTGACGTCTGAGTCAACATTATGAAACATTCAACTTATTATTTTATTATCCGAAGCTGTATCTTTTTAAGAATTTGATTTGTGCGACTTGTAAGGAAACTTTAACATTAAATAAAACCTCTATACTCAGAAAATGCGGTAGCAACATCGACGAAGCCGAAGAGAAGAGCGTACCTCCTAAAGAGGAAAGCTCTAACTACGGGTTTCTTCGACCAGAGCAGAACAAAAGAAGACAAGGATAAAGGTGAGCGATGCCCTATTTGAAAACTAGTTTAAGACCCACTTGCAGCAAATTTGCTGAATCTCGATTTAACTAGAACTGGATTTAGCCTATACAATAATTTGAAATTGACATTGACGTTAAGACATTTCTCTATGAGTTAGATCTAGTTTTAGCTAAATCGAGATTTAGAAATTGGTACAAGTGGATCTAAGACCCACATGCATTAAATTTGCTAAATCTTGAATTAACTCAAACTAGATTTAGCCCAGAAAAGAATTTCAAATTAACATTGAGGTTTTGTTATTGTTGTATTAGTTAAATCGCACCTCATCGCACTGGTCCCAATCCGCACAACTTGCCATCCGCACTGGTCCCAATCCGCACACTGCCCAATCCGTACACCGCCCAATCCGCACACTGCCCAATCCGCACATGTCCCAATCCGCACACCGCCCAATCCGCACACTGCCCAATCCGCACATGTCCCAATCCGCACAGGTCCCAATCCGCACACGGCCCAGTCCACACTGATCCCAACCCTCACAGGGCCCAATCCGCATTGGTCCCAATCCGCATTAACCCCAATCCGCACTAGGTCCAATCCACACTGTGCCTAATCCGCACTAGGTTTTAATGACTGCAGTAATTTTAACATATACTTCAATTAAAGAATTCATAAAAACTAAATTTAAAAAAATACTTTTAATTTCTCGTAGGTATAGTACTATGTATCCCTCGAAATAAAGTGCTATTCCCAACTCTGGTATATTAAGTTACACGCTCGTTAGTAATAGGTCACTTTCTCCTCTCCACTCGGTGAACAATGTATTATTTCTATCTATTGGGGAGCTAAATAGATTTCAAAACTAATAATAATGAAAAAAAAATGTTAACTAAACTTCCTGCATAGATACAATTAATGAGAGTCATTCAAGATAAAATAATTTAGAGTAGGGGCCAACCGCGACTTCGTCCGCGTTAAATTTAGTTTTTCGAGAATCTCAAAGGAAACTTAATTTTTTCCAGGATAAAAAATATCCTATGTCTCAATCCAGGTCATAAACTATATGCGTGCAAAAATCCAAAGGTCTTTGTGTTCGCTTATGCAATAAAGTCCTAAGCAATATCCAAGAGTTAACCATAAATAAATACAAAGATAGTATAAAAAAGCACTTATTAAAAAAACTTATTAAAAAGTGTCTGATTATATTACATATAACAATGCTTGGGTTTGAACTGTTCCAATCATTCCAACAGGTTTTCTTTATTAAATAAATAATGATTGTATTGACGTTGTAACAACATAATGATATGTAAATGTTGTTATATTATACTTTTTATTTTTTTTTCGCTCATTTTTCTCCGCAGTTAAAAAATATGTCGAATAACGAGTGGTAGGGGAAAAAAATGTTTGGACGATTCAAAAGAGTTGTACTATACATCCAATTTGAATAAAGATATATTGATTTCTGATTTGATTCAGTTGTTTTTGCGTGATAAAGTAATAAACATACAAACTTCCACATTTATAATATTGTGTGACATGATGCGATCAGCCCACGTGTTTAACCTGACGCAAGTTTAACATTTTAAACAGTGGGGTATAGGATTGTTAGTCGGTCTGCCGACGTGGGTATTGTTCCCGATACTAAGACTAAAAGATAGCAAAACCAATTTGCTGGAGATATATATAGGTATCAATCAGTTCGTTGACAACAATAAGAGTTTACTCACGTCGTCGGGCGTAAGTAAAAATGAACCTAATACATTTATAATGAAGACATCAAAGACCGATACTGGCAGACATTTGTAAATAGCCACGGGCAGTAACAGTTGCACTTTAGCCGGTTTACGAGCGCCCGCAACACGTGACAGGCAGGCAGACATTATGACTAACCAGTCTCCGCGTCTATCAATCCAATACGGAGGCTAATTCTCGAGGTGTGAGTAAACGATTTTTTTTCAAACTCATTGTACGAATCAAAGTTTTACAACATACTATGGATTACAGAAATTGACATCAAAAATTAGTGTGCATAGAACACACATATGAAGTGAAACTTCTTTACGTAAATAACCTAACCTATTTTTCATCCTCCTAAATGTTAACGGTAGTCCACCCTTAAATTTTTTTTTGTTAAATTTTTTGTTTTAATTTTTTTATCATACATCATACAAAAATACATATTCACGTTTACTGCCAGACGTCTATACAGACTCGGAACCACTAAAACTGCGGCACTGTACGTCCCATAAAATATATTATACCCACTACATTTAAACTACCATAAACTGCGATCTGATTTAATTACTGTCACATTAAAAGGTGCATAAGGTAAAGGCGAATTGAGCAGCGCACGTATCACTCATACATATGTGTATATATGTATATTGTCGCGAGTGACGCTAGTGACGCTCGTAGCATTTCAGCCTTCGCCGAGTTACCCTCCAACTTACATGCTTGTCGGGAAGAGCTGCGCACGCATCCTACACCCACACACACACACACACACACACACACACACACACACACACACACACACATATATATATATATACACCCGTTTCCGTTTCAGCGAGTGTGCTTATGACCACACGACTGGGGTGAAACTTTTTTAGCTCCAATGATCTGAAAATCATAATAATAACCTGAAGACTTGTTATTAGGAAAAAAAACCACCAATCCACGCTGGGTCCGTTATCACCCACTAAGCACTAGATTCATGTATTTTGTGACGGGTATTGTTCATTGTTTACCGATGAGTCACCGATGACACTAATTGTAACGCAAAAATCGTAACATATTCGCCAGTTTACCCGGCACGTCAAGCGTGCCTAAAGAAGTTTCTCTTAAAAAATCTCCTATTCGGCATCCCATCACCCATAGGCGCGTTAAATCGATAATAGTCGATAATATCGGATCCGTTATTGCGAAATCTGCTTTTAGTACATTATGTATGAGAACGGCTACGATATAATATCGCAATAACGCAACCGATATTATTGTCCGATAATAACTCGCCAATGGGCGAGAGCCTTATACTATCGCTACTATTTATACCATTCAATGGATTTTTTAGAGCTGTCGCATCTTTAACAGCCACATTCGGTCACGCCGATTAAAGTTAATAATCCATTAAGTGAACAATATGTTGTTGTTCCATGCAATAACCGAACATTTTGCATATTTGCAATAATTGACATCGTCACGGCGTCTGGCCTAATTGAGGTAATTAGCCGCGGTGCACAGAGAAAAATATATTAGTGTAGATTTCGACGCCTATACGGATGTACTCATTAACATAATAACATTATTGTATTTTAAGAACATTTGTGAACAAGTGATAAACTCGTAATTTTCGGTAACAATTTTATCATTTCAACATCCACTAAGCGCAGGCACTACAGTTGTCTCATTCTTGTGTTAGCGAAGAAAGAAACCACTTGTTATGATAATTACTAACCTACGTTTATGATTGCAGCCGTAAATGCCGTAATTATATCTTTATTAAACTAATTATACAGGTTGAGTTTGGTAACAGCCAAACTCAACCTGTATAATTAGTCCAAACACTCATAATAAATATTTTGATAAACTTATAAATAAAAACGTACTATGAAGTGATTACCATATTATAGGAAGAAAATCATGAAAAGAAAATACATTACACATATAATAAAAAACAGTTTTTTGTTCACTCATCCAATGACCGACCACTGCGAAAGTTGCTTAACTTCAACGATCTCAGCCGAACGCGCCATCGAGCTCCTCAAATAACGGAACTTGCCTGGCGTTAAAAGATCATAATACGTTCTTCGGTTTCATAAATTAGTTTGAAGCAGCTAAACTACCAATATAGTAGCTAACCGTTGCCAAAATCCAGTTACGTATGCAGCGGTCACTTTTAAATCTAACCTATTCTTGTGCTAAGATTGCAATAAAATAATTTTATTTATGCATATGGAGATTAACGTTCAGATGGATTTATTATATATTTACGTGAGCCAAAATTAATGAGGCTGGACGATTTGCATGTGATTTAAAGTGGCCTTTGTCAGTTAAAATGTATACAAACACTTTTGTGTTTGCTAGAAAAAAATTCACGCGGACCAGGCAGCGGACGGGACTCGAAACCGCACCCTTCGCAATCCGGGCGAATGCACTGACCAATTATGCTACCACGGCCCTGATGGCCGCGTCGAAATTCTCCTAGCATTAAGCTGCAATGCTGCGCCATCTCTTCGCATTGTAGGTAATCCACAATGTCAAATGAATACTTTTCCAAGTATTCAACATTTGAAAGAAGAAATAGCAACTATAGTTAAATTAGCCAGTTATGTTTTAATTTTTTTAAGCATTTAACTGCTAGATGTTTAAATGTACAGAAAAGTTTTACTAAATGTAGATTTAAACATCTAGCAGTTAAATGCTTAAAAAATATAAAAACACTTTTGTGTTTGGTTAATTTTTTTGTTCACCAGCAAGTTTTTTCAAAACATTCAACAAAAACACATACACAAAAAATTTTTTTGTAACATGTTTCTCTACACACGCCGCGCCGTCCACTGCTCATCTTTTTTTTTTGATACGCTGGGGAAAACATTAAATTGCTTAGCACATGGTGGTTATGTGGGGCTCTCCAGCCCAGAAGGGGGAGGCCTACCCACTAAAACCTCAGCGATGGCCGCCATCAGGCATTCTACGCAGCCTCAGGATCGAGTATCGCATCTGCGGACCCTCAGCCTTTGCTCCCCTGCTTCCACCAGGGGAGCCCTTCTCGGGGGAGTGTTCGCAACCTCCCCCTTCCACCCTCCTACGACGACACCCCCCGGCCATGCGGGGGTGTCGTCCCTCCCAGGTCGCTTCCATAAGCTCAAGCTCCGTCGTGCTCACCAGCGGCGGGATCGGCCATCTCCCGATCCCGCTCAGCGGCCTCCTTCTGGAGCATAACCGCTTCACAGATGAAGGCCGCAGCCCTCCAACCTCCCTCATCCGCCAGCATTGCCGCAATCAATGCTGG